AAGAAAGAAAGAAAGAAAGAAAGAAAGAAAGAAAGAGAAAGGAGGAAAGGAAGAAAGAAAACAGGCACCTTTGGACTTGTGTGAAACCTGGAATTTCCTAGGCTTTTCAGGTGTGGCACCTGTTTTATCCATGCAATGAGCATCCTAAACAAAGCAGTTTTTTTTTTAACTTGGTGCCCAGGTCATCACTGGGAATGGAGGTATGGAGATATCAGACCTGGCTACATCAGTGAATTAATTTACCAGGGCTTGCTTTATAACACCGGCAGGATCTGGAAGAGTTTAGGATTAGGCCAGGTGAGCCCAAATAAGGTGGGCTGTTGGGCAAATCAAACCCTTATTTCTGTGTAAAATCACACACAAAAGATTAACTTGTTGGTTTCATTCAACTGCCATTAATTGGTTGGGCCCAGAACGTGTTGAAATCAGTAGCATTAGTCACCCCTTGCTGGTGGGGAAACCCTGTGCTAAATTTGAGAGAAGTTGAACATTTGATTTCTGGTGGCCCTTATTGTTGCTGTTTTCAAAGAGAAGAACGTTAAAAAGCTTCCCATCCTGAATCTAATGGAATTGGGTGAATATAAGAAGAAAATATAAGGAGTCGTTGAATTTCTTCTTGAAAGAAAGGCGTGGCTCTCAACAGTGAGAGGTTGGATGTTTTGACATCACCTATAACCGTGATGATGAACCTATGGCATCCGTGCCAGAGGTGGCATGCAGAGCCCTCTCTGTGAGCACGCGAGCCGTCACATCAGCTCAGTTCTGCCGTCCATGCCCTTGCGCCTCCCAACGGCCAGCTGGTCTTTGGGTCTCTGTCATGCATGCGCAGGGGGTGGGGCGCATTGCATGGGAGATATGCACACATGCATATACAGGGGGCATGTGCATGGGGATGCACGCATGCACGGGGCAGGGGTGCAAGCACGGGGGGTGCGTGTGCATTGCATTTTGGGGATGCACACGTGCTTTGGACACTCGGTACTGAAAAGGTTAGCCATCGTTGACCTATAAGAACCATTTTTTTCTTAGGGGACCACAGGCAGGGGTGGGATTCTACAGGTTCGCACCTATTCGCTAGAACCAGTTGTTAACATTCTAAGCAGTTCAGAGAACCCGTTGTTAGAAGAAATTACTAGCCTAATCCTGTAAGGAAGGCAGGAAGGAAACATTCTGGTGTTGCTTACAGAAACTGCCTCTCCATTAACCCTTATTACATTCTTGGCAGGACTAGA